CAGATTAAAAAAAGGGACAGCGTTATCACTGTGACCTCTTTCGTGGTTTATATGTTACTGGCAGCAATAATTCTTGGTGTTTTCTTTTACTGCTGTAAAGTATGTCTTGTAGAGTAGATAACGCGTGGACGTTAAAACATTCGGAAGGTTTGTTTGTAATACGAATTGTATTCTAGAAGGAACTTATCAGACTAGAATGGTCAAAATTATGGTTCAACTTATCAGACTAGAATGGTCAAAATTATGGTTTCATTCACGTGACCTTTCCTGGGACTCATACCAGTTACTTACTGGTGATATACCTATGGCTGTTATGTTTTATCATATGAGGATTAACGACAGAGAACCAAAGTTATCGACATAATCCAAAGGATTGGTAAGCTGAAGTGGCAGTGGGCCGGTCACATTTGTCAAAGAACCGATAACCGTTAGCATAAACGTGTTCTAGAGTGAAGACCGCGTCTAGGCAAACGTAGTGTAGGGCACCCTCCAGCTAGATGGAGTGATGACATCCGCAAGGTGGCTGGCAGTGGTTGGATGAGAAGAGCTGAAGACCGAGCCCAGTGGCGTGCCATTGGAGAGGCCTATGTCCAGCAGTGGACGAACACGGACTGACAATGATGATGATTATGAGAATTAAAAGGTATGATAATATAATAATATGGTAATGTGACATTGTAACTCTCCAGAATATGGTTTCCAAAGAAAATTTAGATGCACAGCGCAACTTCAATGATTAATAGTTCATGACAGATAGTTTACTAGTTAGTCAGGTAGCGACAGAATCACCGAACATAATTTAAGTTCGGACCGCATTTGCATTGTCTGATGGACAGTCCTATTTCAGGAAGTATTTTGTCCATTACGACAGATCTGGGACGATTGTTAGTTGCAAGTTGTAACGTTAACTTTGTACATAATCTATTTTCTCTAATCATTCATTATTCACAACACAGGAACTGGAGAAAACTAAGAGTTAAGAACATTATTAACACTTCTCAAGACCTGTATGTACCTACTTATTTCTAATTCTGTAATTTGACTTACCCTTTCGAGCTCAATGCGTTCAGCAAATGAAAGACTTAGCAATAACTATGTACCTACCTAAAGTATAGTTTCCTGTCACACTATAACTATCGTTTTCAGCCGACTTCAAAAAGAAAAAGAAGTTTTTCAGTTTGAGCTACTAAATGTATGTATATTTGTGCGCGCAATTATCTCGTGATTGGCTGAACCGCTTTTGATGCAGTTTTCAGAAAAGTGTTTGGATTTTGATGCCGTTTTCATAAAAGTATTTTAGAAGTAGGTTTTAGTAGGTAGGTATTACTAACCGACTGCAAAAAAGAGGAGGTTGAAGACAGTTTTTTTAAACATAGTTAGTATTGAAATACACTGTTTTTAAATATAGAATTATTTGGGTTATAATCTTCATTTAAATTTTATTTACATCTCAATACAGAGGATCGCTTACCTCTCTCTCCTGCCTCAATATTACGAAGTAGGTACCAACATAAAAAACCAAAACAAAAACTTTTTAAATATTCACAAAGCGTATATCGTATTGACGTGGTATTGACCAACAAAATGATATCAAGTAAAGAAAACAAAAGCACTCTAGTCGTAGAAACCTTTTATGTGTGAACCTCAAATGGACGTCCCGCTTTTCTATCAACCATTGCTATATTTTTATCAGATTGCGGTGAGCACAATCCCGTCACATTTTATTGAAACACGCCCGACTATCCGGTACTGAGAAATCATACGTTGATGTCCTTTTGTTATGATGTATGTACCTACGTTCGTAAATACTTTTGATGTCATATAGGTTTATTGTGCCGTGTAGGTACGTGTATGAAAGATTATTTTGTTTAATGGAATATGTTTCGTTCATTTATTGAGAAGAAAACTGTGTTAAATACTTCAGTTCCTTTAAGTTTTGTTATGCAGAGTATATTTTTATATAATGGCAACACTTGCTAAATGATGTTCGTAATTAAAATGCTTGCTAGATATTATTAAAATATTATTTTGTAGATGTTTTAATAATTTAGTTATTTTTTTTATTTTATTTAAATACTTTTACTATTATTAAAAAAATATGAAAGTTTTAGTTAATTAGTAAATTATTTGAGTGAAGCTCATTTTTGATGAATGTTTTTGTAGAATATGGCAATGTTAGATATTACACACTTTTGGCGGGAATTGAAAAAGTTCGGTCGATGGTTTCGGCTAAAATTGTAAAAATTATATTAAATAAGTAATTGAAGGTCGTTACGAGTCTTATTTCCTGACCCTAATAATAGATATAATAAAGAAGAAGAAGAATCTCTTTTTAATATTTCTGCGGCGTAGTGGCAGAGCGACCGGCTGGTGCGCAACGCGTTGCAGACTCGATTCTCTCACCGAACTAGATGCGTTATTCTTTGAATCACCAACAAGTTGTTGTTCCAAGTTTGGACACATAATATGCATGAGAAATTATCTACCTCTACATAGGGATGTGCTTGTAAACGCAACCGAAACGACACAAGACAAAATTAGAGTGATACCTAGTATTTTTTAGAGTTATATACTATTTCTTATCCTACATACATAACCCATTGTTCGCCTTCGGCTATCACTGCATAGGTATGTTCCTAAAGCACTCAGCAAAACAATGGGTGGTAAAAAATAAAATTTATGACGCCCTCAAACTTTTATCGCCCGAGTTAAGATGACGATCGGGGTTAATTTAACGATCACTCAGTTCCAAGTGAAATAATTTTCCAATGAAAACTGAAGGTCGTAAATCCTGGTACCGTAAGTATCTACTGATCTGAGAACAAACGTGAGTAGGAAAGTAGGTAAGTCATATTATCAACTGTTCTAAATGTTTATGTAAAGTAGCTTAGTAAGAGATTATGTAAAGTAGATTCTAGACTGTCAATGGTGGTTGATCGTAATAATGATCAATTTGATGATGAAGCCATGTACCTAGTCCTGCAGGTCAAATAGCGTAGATACCTAAAAATAGTAATACCTAATAATAATATATAAATATACGTAGACCTACAAAGGTGACCTACATAGGTCCATATTACCTACTACCAGGCTCCACTTACACACAACAAATCAGTTTTCTTCATAAAATAAAATAAGACTAGAAGTACCTCCTTACAATCTTGTTTATTGAAACTTATGAAACTGGAGATACTTCACAACACGATGTGAGCTCGTTAGTGTCAATAGGAAACGTAAGATGTAAGTACAAACTCAGGTACCTACCTAGATAATTAAATACCTGATGTATGTGGATAGCTATAGGTACGAATGTTGCTTGTTAGTTGAATGATTAAAAGTGCGATTGCCGAACAGAGGTCTCGGTTTTCTATGTTGTAGGTACGTATTCTAAGTTACCTAAATGTGTAAATCCTGTATCCTACATATCACATCTTAATTAGATACAAAGTACAAGCATTAAGTATCATTTTAATCTAGCACGACTTAGCAACCTGGCACTTCCTAATTAGACTTCTAAAGCAAACGTAAATGTCTAACACAGAAGATAAATGATAGGAAGGTGTAATTTAACTAGGCGTCTATAATTAAAAGAGTGCTAGCACCGACTAGAAGTGACAAGCCACTCATCCGCATGCTTATTTAGCTTGGCTTTGAGCAATTCTTAATCGAATGTCAGAAGCGGTAAGCGCGCGCTCGGCACTCAACGCATCATAGTGTTCGTAATTACTTTTTAATCTATGATGCCAGTTATATTCACAGCTCTTTTCTTTTTTAAGTTTCCTATGAATAATTAGGTCTATTTATAATTATAAGTACCTAACTGAAGTTGGTGTTAGTATAGTGCTGAGTGTAATTTAATGGGAAGTTTTTTGAAATAGCAACATTAACCAGTGTACCTACACTGGATCAAATTTCGCGGTGCAAACCACCTTACGCACTTATTTACATAAAGTCGGTACCTATAATAACTTAGATAGAATAGAGTCCTATGCAGGAAAAAATACCTATACTAGGTAGTTACTAGAATAGTCAGTAGGACCCACCTACCTACTCAATTTGTGTAAGTAGTCGTTCCTTGTTATTCACATTAACAGCCCGCAAAATTCCTCACCAACCCTCGAGGCTTCGACAGAATCAATCAGCGCATCATTATTTTCAAGGCAACACCGCTGTGGTCGTCTCCGGAACTCCCTAGTGGATGGGCGACCTAATTCTTCCACGTAGGTACTAATAACATCAATGCTCTGGCGTTATTATCTAACTCCCGGAACGGATGACCTGACACTATTGGAAAGCCAGTCTTTGTTGTACACGCTATGTCAGAAAGGCTTATCATTCCAGTATTATTATTATTTATTTTGGATTCAAGTTGTCATTCAATACTCGTATCCGCTGTACCTATTCGTGTTTGTTTCGATAATTCATCATTTGTAGTTATTTGCAACTGGCCAACCAAAGTAGAGTATAACTTTTGAGTTTTTAGACATATTGATATGGTTTGTGGCTCAGGCACATAAAGGTGCGTAATATCTATTTATTGTTAGTTTTAATACAGCTTTTTACACTTTTATTCTGAAATTATGTCATGCCGCTGCCTTGTTGGCAGTGTTCGCAAGTTCCCAGGTCAGGTAAAGTATTATCGAGTTTAAAAAAAATCTGTTATAGCACGGAGTCTGAAATTGTGTACGGTAAATGGCAATAGGCTCATCCCCCTATTACTTGGGACTTATAAATAGTCAAAATTGAATTGTACAGTGGCATTATGTGCCGTAATGAGCACCTCTGCCTACCCCTTCGAGGATAAAAGGCTTATTTTATGTAACCTCGAGTCTTGCAGGTTGGAAGTGCTTAGGGATAGAAATTAAAACTACCATTTTCTATTTCCAGCACAGAATAGCTTATATTATTGCGTAATAACAAAATCTTTGTAGTCTTATTTATTACATTAGTCAAAATGAAATACCTACCTTACAACGTGAGGATTCAATAAAAACAACACGTACAACTACAGAATCTTTAATTATATCCAACAAGTACTCTTAAGCGAATCTTTTAAATCAATCTTAACTAAACATAATCGCTAAAACTCGAACCTTTCTCATTTGTATGTCAGATACAAAAATATTTATATCTTATATCAACAGAAAATCCACTCATACCATGTGATACACTAAACTTATTGAATTAAAACAACGCACTCATAATTTCAGCGTCCATCGTCCGGGATACTTCGACTAGTATCTAGTATATAAAATATATTCACAAGCCAGGGGCGCCGGCTTTCAATATGAAGCCACGATGTACAGATCACTGTCTGGTTACAAGTCTGTAACAAAATGGTGAGCTTCAGTAAACGGGAACGCCTCCACACTTTATTATTGGCATGCAGTCTCTGTTTTTGTACAAATCAAACGCAATTTCACTTTTTACAAACACAAAATTCAATTCTCATTAACATTTTTACCTTAAACTATAGTTAAAAGAAGCTTAGTCTATTACCACCTCATAGTAAAGTTCACATATTAATCTTAAAAGTATTGCTTTGAAAGCTTATCACTTAGTGAATCTAACTTCGTTCAAATAATGCCAAATCTCGAAAAAGCTGCTTAAACATTATTCTAACTGTATATTTACTATTAGTTTCCTCGTGTAATTAAAAAACACTTATAATTATTCTGTATTATCTTGAAATTTTGTGTAATGTAAAGCAATGTGAAACTATCTCTAGTTTCACTTGCATTATAAAATTGTTTGAGTTATGACACTATTCGAGCGAAGTTGCGATATTTAAAATGCAAAAATACATAACACGACACAAACAAAAAAGATTCAGCTAATACTACTCACAAAATCTACTTTTAAGTATCGCTCTTCCAAAGCTTGATAGTCTTGTCGTTCTCGAGGGCTGCCGACGCAATGATGTTCTCGGTGGGGTGACACGCCGTACAGAGCACAGTGTCCGTGTGCCCCGACAGCCGCTGCACGATCTCTTTTGATTGCAAGTTCCAGATGTACACCAAGTTGTCTTCTGAGCCTGACACTATCCACTGTGGACAATAGGCGATGTTTAATATGCTGTAAGAGTACACGCACTATGCACGAAGGAATATCTCAGATAATTTTATTGCAAAACTAACATTTTAACCACCAGTAGTACTATAAGCAAGAGATATTATTTCACAATATGATGAGCTTTTTATTCGGCTTAAGACTGTGAAGGAAAGTACATTTTTAAAGTCGATTACAAGTCACGCATTCTAGGATAAAGATACGAACTAATAAACATTATCACTGGCATTAATATCTGGTTTATCCTACTTATGCTGACCTACGGTTACACAAACTCACGATAAAATCACCGAATGACGTCATAGGAAGGATCACCTTGCAATCTACGTAAACGACACCTACATTATGCTTGCGTAGGAGTTCCACTACACAGCGTGGCTGGTAGCTGTATCTATGTCAATAACGCTGTAACTGTTTGCCATGCATTCATGTGTAACTAACAAAATGACATAAAAACTTTGCATACGTCCATAAAAGACGTATGATCGATTAATAATAATTTACGTACATTTCTATGAGATACGATTCGTAAATTTGTATCCCTCAGTTTTGCAGCTTAAGTACAATTTTCATATGTTTTACATTTTTGCTATGTACATATAAAGTAGTTCGCTAGCAAGTTCGTGGGAATTCAACATTTTACCTTGACATACTTGCAATCTCTTATCAACGACGTCAGATTGTAGTTCTAAAAATCTGTGAGAGCACAACTGACTGATAAGGAGTATATCGCTCGAAATAATGGCTATCGAACGATGGAATGAGCGTCAGAGAGTCTAATCTAAATGTGGAAGGATAGTAGAAATAGTGAGTAAAAATATTTGGTGACATGCAGCTGAGCTTTGTAGAAACCCCCCACTAAGAACGGCTAAAAATAGCTGTATCTAAGCAGTGTACGGCTGTCTACTCTATAGAAACTGATAGTAAGCGACCGATACATTTTCGATAAGTAATACTTTTGTGGCATATCTAATATTGTTGATAAAAGGTATTATTGAGCAGTTTTACATCTTCTATTTTATTTATAAACATGTAGCTACTTTTACAAAATTATCAATGCATGTCAATTTTATAATATATGACTCAAAATAATGCAGAACAAATGCTCTTCTTAGAGTGCTCACTACTTTGCATTCCAGTGGGCCAAAAATTATGCATAAATTAAATATTTTATTTATTTGTGCTAATTACGTTTTTTGTAGAGGTAATGTATGACAGATATGTTTAGTAATTAGAGTGATTCTTACCTTTCCTCCAGTGACACTGAAGTTGGCAAAAATGCAATATTTTTCGTTTTTATGTCCTGTGTAAGTCTTGAGGCACTTGCCCCGGCTGTAGTCCCATAATTTGAGTGTGTTGTCTAGTGTCGCCGCCAGAATATATTTGCCGTTTGGAGAGAACTTCACAAACGAAACCGGCGGATTGTCGTCGTCTATCAATGTCTTTAGACATTGGCCTGATGCTGTATCCCAGATTCGACTAAAACAGAAAAGCAAAATGATTGTTTAACATTATATATCGTCTCATGTTTTCGCACGTCTTGAAATAAGGATGTCTTAGAATAAATTAAATAGAATAAAACACGTACCATAATCCATCATAACTGGACGATACGATAAGGCTGCCATCTCTGTTAAAATGCACTGCTGATACTGGATCTGAATGCGCTGGTAGTGTTTTTAAACATTTTCCTGGAAAGAAAAATATTTAATACATTAATTACGTCGATTTACAATGCAAATGTGGGTCAAAGAATTTATCGCATATTTTTTATAACTACCTAATAATGTTGAATAGCTTCTTTAACACTTTTATGTCTGTTTGAGACTGTTTTGCATTTAACAACCCCATTTTAAGGAAGATAAGATTATTATTCCTTATCCTTTACTTGTGCATACTGCATGGGAGTAAAATCGTGGGTAAGAACTAGATTAGTATACAACACAACAAAGTCACATAGACCTTTCAGTTTGGTCTATATGCAGATGATTGAGACGAAATACCGATCCGACTAGGATGTTAATAGTATAAATAGTACACTAACCTACTTCTATAGGAGTAGCTACTTGACATTTACGATTGTTTCTATTTGTACCTATCTAAAATTAGACATAATTACAGATTGTATAGAAAACTGTTGAAAGTAGAGTCGTGGGAGGTGAAAATGTTTAACACTGTGATGTTAATAAGGTTTAAAGTTGTGTAATGTAAACTATGAAAGTATATTTGGAGAACAGCGATCGTGACTGGCCTCACGACTACATTTTCGACCCATTGTTTAGCATAGTAAAGATGCATATTGTAATGCAGCTGTTGTGTTATAAATGTAGATCGTTGACCGCGTTTTGTTTGCTAATTGAGTAATCATTATTTATGTGTGTAAATAGTCACAAAATATCAATGAATGACTAATAAAAAAAGTGGAATTCAACCACAAAGGTAGAATTATAAGGTTTGAAACTTCAACTAATTTTTAGAACAATGCATATGGCGATAGGTTTCAGTTTTACTATGTAACGGTAGTTATTGCCGCCAAATAACAACTGGTGCAATTATTGTGGACTACAACTCGCCTTATCGTTTCTGAGAAGTAAAACATGAATGAATTTACTGTATATTTTCGTACTATGTAGGTAAGGACAACTTTTTACCTTCCTATTTTTGTTCGCGCGATAATTCCTTGATAAACTAACAAAGAGAAAAAGCGGGTTTCGTAACAGTAGTCACATTTATCAAGTCCCACCTTTTTATAGTTTTATATGGCTTAATTTTAAAACGTTTTCCTTAACTTTTTTAAACTCAGTTCGTATAAATTAACCTTTTCATGTGACATGTACAATAATATCGGAAATGCCATCGTAGCCGTTAATAGTAAACAATTTATTTTAGTATATTCGTTTACAACATAATAATTTATAGTTTAAATTGCAATTTCAAAACGGGCGCCATTTGTTCGTTGACGCTCGCGGCATTAGCCCGTGTCGAATCCGGTTATGGACTTTATCATTTAGGTCCTGCACTTTTTGATATTTCTTTTTTTAAAACCCCATTTAACGTTTGAAGTAGGTTTTATGTTATGGAAAGCGTACGTTTTTACTTCGTTTCAGCGCATTTATACTCAACTTTTGGCCACTAGATGAAATTTAGTGCGTAAAGAGTGTGAAAGTTTATGTAAGGTATAAATAAAATTAGTTTATTACCTGTTCTCACATCCCATATCCGTACACTCTCGTCAAAACTTCCTGATACGATAAGATTGCTTTGTGGATTAAAATTACAGCAAAATACGTAGTTGCTGTGTCCCTTTAGTGTCTTCAAACATTTGCCCGAACTCAGTTCCCATACCTGTAACATAAAAATAGGTCGTAAAGCGTTTGTGGGGAGCTGATCTATTTTGAGATATTATGGTGCAATACGGGTGTAATGAGGTAGGATTACAAGAACCTAAGTCCGTTTTCGACACAAAGACATTTGATTTTTTTATAATAACACTGATGACCTAGTTGGCCGAGTGGTCGCAAGTGCGACTGCCGGGCAAGGGGTCTCGGGTTCGATTTCCTGGTTGGGCAAAGTATTACTGGGTTTATAAAAAAAAAATAATTGTAGCACGGAGTCTGGAATTGTGTCCGGTATATGGCAATAGGCTCACCGCCTATTACATGGGACTCATAACATAAAAGTGAAAGTGTACAGTGGCATTAAGTGCTGTTATGTGCTCCTCAGCCTACGCGTTCGGGGATGAAACATGTGATGTTATGTTTAATACAATACTAGAATATAAATTGATAATTTTTATTTGCTTCTATAATGCAGTTTAAGTAAACATAACAAACACTATTTGTTTGATAACTTTTGACATCAAATAAATACAATAACTTGATTAGATAAATCATAGTTTTTGCATTTACATTTAGATATGGGGGTCAAAGGATAAATATGCAATGTGCATAATAATTATGTTTCATATTGGTGAAAGACATTACTTAACACTTTGATAACATTATGTAACCAATAGAATGAAATGATCTCATAATCACACTTCATTCATAATTACTTTTTATGAATTGATTAATTGAGGAAAACATATTATGCACACATTGCACAATGTACAAAGATATTTGGCCACACCTAAGACTAACAATTCCTAATAATAACTACACTGAGGACAAGTTATCAAGATTATTTAATTTTTTTTATTTTCATGCATGAAATGGGTAATAAAAATGATAAATTTATTAAAACTATAATCAAACTTACATTTTTAAAGCCCTAATGTTTTTTTATCTATAAAATGCTGAGGACATAAACACACACTGTTATCTATTAAGATATGAGTTCACTAACCCAAAGAGTTTGTTATCTAGTTTCCCAGACTGTTTTAACAAAGGGAACTTGGAAATTTAGGATTTGGAGCAAGTGGTAATAATGGTCATCAATCATGATAAGTGAGGTGACACATAAACGATGTAGATGGAATAGCTAAATATTTTATTACTATGGTTTACTTTTTTTACATTTCAACAAGTTTTATGAAATATGGTCATAATATACTTTAAACTATTGATAGGGTATTATTGTGAAGCTGTATGTATATTGTTATAAATTATCATAATTTGAAATCAATTAAATTTTAATACCTCGACTTCATAGTAGTAAACATCTATTATTTATTTATTAATGATAAATAAAATATAATTACAATGTCCGTATAGCGACAACTAACCGCCGCATGTAACCTTTTTCGTATAAATTCCGTTCGTGAGTACGGCGACACGGAATTCGCGTGTGTAAAAAGGTCCTCACGCAATTCCTTACTCCCCACCCCGTCCTCCCACTTCGCCCTACACCGATCATTCACCGCGCAAGCGCGACCCCCGTTAACGTTCGCTATTCGAATTTGGCGCGCATCGACGCTCTATGGTTTTGGGTACTTTTATGAGGAAGTTATTCAGTTTTGAGGTCAAATGTAAAATAGGGTTTTATGTTGTATCAAGGTACATTGACCATGGAACTTGTATGATAAAATAAAACGTTGACTACCTAGGAATGCTATTTATATCTGCTTGCAAAGGTGGAATTATATTATGTTTATGTGCGAGTATGATAAAATCAAATATTACCTTTAAGGTTTTGTCATCACTGGCACTGACTATCAACCTGCTATCTGAGGACCAAGCCACATCACTAATACCCATTTTGTGTCCCGATATTGTTTTCTCGAATTTTCCATCGTAAGCACCCCATACTTTGATAAGTTTGTCAGCAGCTGTAAAGTAAAAAGAAAATGTTATCTCTCACAAATCATTAGTGATATTATATTTATTATAGTTCTTATTCAAATGGTAATAAGAATGACATCATTATTTAGTGTAGCTTAAATAATCATCCACATAAAATGCTGAGTTGCTTGCCTAGCAACAGCTGGTTTAAATTGCAAATTGAAGTGAAGGTCAAAAAACTTGAATGTGCCGTTGAAATATAAATTAGATTTTCAGATTGTGCATCATTCTATTGACCATTTAAAGTTTCAGCAACTGATTATTTGAGGAGTATCTGTTATTTTACCATTGTATACATGATATTTTTTTGTTCTTATTTTAAAAGCATTTTTACTTGTAACAAGTGTAGGAACATTAGGAAAGATCAAAATTTCTTCTTTAAAAGTTCTGTTCAACAGCTTGACTTCTACATAATATGACGTTCAAAGCATTACATCACTATTTTAAAGAAACAAAAAACAATGATGTAAACTTTTCTTACAATACTTCCACCTATTGGCAGTGGGCATTCAAGGCCACCTTTATACCCAACTGTTGCCCAAACCTAAAGCTTTACAAACATTCAAATAATTTAAATAGGTAATTAATCATTGTAAATTGATCCTTAAACAATGAGTATAATAAGGTTTTTTTAACTGATTACAAGGTAATCAATCTAGTACATGTTAAACAAAAACAACTATAAAAATACTATAAAAAATGCTAACTTCATTTGTTTATGAAAATGAGCAACTTTTCACAACAAATAGTAAGAAGTTTTAAAAGTGAGACAAAAGATTTATGAAAGGTATTCTTGAAAATTAACACTACTTCATTAGTACTTTTAAAGTTAACAGTATGTATCACTTCCAATTTCTACTTTCTTTATTCTTCAACAATCATGGAGGTAAATGTTGATCTATAATAATTTGTATATGATAAACATTCCTAAAGGTATCATATTTTTGCTAGGACAAAAAAACAAACAATCCAAACATAAATAGGTATTCGAAGGTAAATAAATAACTGACATGACATGAGCCATTAATTATTGCTTTAAGTATAATACTCACAGGAACTTGCCAACCATTCTCCATTTGGACTGAATTTAACTGAAGACACAGCTTTTGTATGACCCGCGAGTGTGAATTTGAGCGTGTAGTTCGGCTTCTGTAAACCGACATCAAAATTAGCGCCAAATCGCACGTGCTCACACAAGTTGAAGTTACATAAACATGTGCCGCCCGCCAGACTGACGCAAACCAATGAAATGCGGTGAGACAACGCTACTTACCGCCACTGAAGACTTGTTTGATTGTGGTGCAGATTGTGATAACGAATTTGGCCCGGAAAGATTGGCCGAAGGTCCACCGTGTGTTTGGTGTGCAGCAGGATGGCCTGGGCCGGGACCTAGCGGCACCATGTTTCAACTTTCCGAGTTTGACGCACTACGCTTTACTTTGTTCGTCACCCAACACAGTCACTATCACACAATGAAACACAATCTAAATTAAACTTAGAAATAGGCAACACACGGAACTTGTCACTCACTTCAGTTTTTACATATATTTCAACGTAGATTTTCAAAGAACATTCTAAATCCGGGCGTCCCAATGCGTGCATATTTCGCGAAGACGATCAGTGGTGCCAACCTACTTTGAAAACTATAAATTCCCTCCCCGCAGCAATCTAGCTGGCCAACTCATTGTCTTTGGTTAGATTATTATTTAAAATATTTAAAAAAATACAGAAAAATATTATCAAGCATATATTTTCTAATAAAATTTGAATAAGTGCTGCAATAATAAAAATAATCATTTATTAATTTTTATTAGTGATTGTGATGTTATAAGTTGGTATTGCCAAGCGTAAAAAATAGATTTTAACGTTGGCACGTTGGAAATGACCTCTTTGACATTCCCAAGGTTACATTTGACAATTAGAATTCGCCGCTGGTCCAGTTAAAATTTTGTTATAAAGTTTAAAAACTGTTACCAGAATGGCTCTAAATAAACTCAGTATTGATGCCCTGAACTTGGCTGGCAAGCGCGTGTTGATGCGGTAAGTTTTTCCAGTCTAACATTACAAAAACGAATTTTACAACCGGACACAATTACTGGGAAAATAAAATTGATTGACTAATTTGCAGAGTGGATTTCAACGTCCCCTTGAAGGATGGAGTCATTACCAATAACCAGCGCATCGTCGCAGCATTGGATTCTGTTAAATATGCATTGGACAAGGGTGCAAAATCGGTTGTACTTATGTCACATCTGGGCAGGCCCGATGGTCAGGCAAACCTTAAGTACACCCTAAAGCCGGTTTCTGAGGAGCTCAAGAAACTGTTAAACAAGTAAGATATTACGTGTGTATTTCTATGCATGAGCTTAATAACTGTCTGACTATATTTAGGTGTATATACAAGTCAAGGTGACCAGATAAAACAACTGTTATGTTTTAATTGTTGTCACAATAAATCAAAACAGTACTATACTTAATTATTCCAAGAGTTGTCTCAACTGACTCACTATGTAGTTTTTTTCAATGATTTTAAATTATTTTTTAACAAAGTAGCTGAATATGAATACCTACTTATTTCTACTTTCAGAGATGTGACGTTCCTTCCCGATTGTGTGGGTGCTGAAGTAGAAGCTGCATGTGCTGACCCAACCCCTGGATCTGTAATCTTGCTGGAGAATCTCCGTTTCCACATCGAAGAGGAGGGCAAGGGTATTGATGCGTCTGGAGCGAAGGCTAAAGCTGACCCTGAGAAGGTCAAGGCATTCAGAGCAAGCCTGAGGAAACTGGGTGATGTTTACATCAATGATGCCTTTGGTAAGTTCTGTTCTATGATAAAGTAGAAAATAATAATATAATAACTATCTTTAATTGATTACAATTTAGAATAGCAATCAAATCAGATGCATGCTAATAAAATTTGTAAATAGAAAATTCAATGATTTAGTTATAACTTTTATGTGGTCTGAATTATTATTTTTATAAATTTGCACAGCTTTTTACAATTAAATATTAAATGTCATTAAATTATTAACAATTTTAGGAAATGTTTTTACGAAATTTAATTTTGATCGTGTAGAAAAGTATTAATTGACAAATCTAAATGAACTTGAATTTGACTAGTTAAAAAGTTACCCTATTACATACTGAATTATAAAAAAAATGTGATATACACATCCAAATGTGGTTTGGCTCATCGAGTGGATGAAGTATGTGACAATCCTCAGCCACAGTTAAATAATTTTTTTTTCTAACAGGTACCGCTCACAGGGCCCACAGCTCCATGATGGGAGAAGGTTTCGAACAAAGAGCCAGTGGCTTCTTACTGAAGAAAGAACTGCAATACTTTGCTAAAGCTCTGCACGAACCAGAAAGGTGAGGTATTTATAATGCATCATGACTTATGATTAGGTTTACATTAAGCTTACTATGTTTGTTTTTTTTTAACAAAAATCTATCTCTTTCTCATCTAATTTTGTAATGTTTTAATTTACAGGCCATTCCTTGCTATTCTGGGAGGTGCTAAAGTAGCTGACAAGATTCAGTTGATTGAGAATTTGTTAGACAAAGTCAATGAGATGATCATTGGTGGTGGTATGGCGTACACCTTCCTGAAGGAAACTCAGGGTATGGCTGTAAGTATAACATATGAATTATAAAAAGTTAAACATTTATTGTTACATTGTTTACACATATTCAATGGATAAAGGATCGGATAATGTATCAATGAGACTGCAAAAATCTTCCTTTTTTAAAAAAAGTAATGATGTATTTTCTTTCTTGTTCTTCTTCATTGGAAACAACACTCGGAAACGAGCGCCTAGCTTCACTGACAGACGGGTACAATTAAATGTTTGGCATTCTAAAAGTCAATGATTAATTGAAATTAATGCTTTGACTTTGAATATTTACTTAGCTTCTTAACATATACTTACTTTATTGACTAATAAAACTTATATGAATTGAATCTTTAACAAATATCAGTATGTCTAATATCTCATTATTGTATTGTTCTTGCATTTCATGTAACAAGCAAGTGCTGTAAAAAAGTTAATTTTTCTAGATTGGTAACTCCTTGTACGATGCGGAGGGTGCTAAAATTGTCGGAAAGTTATTGGAAAAGGCTGCAAAGAACAATGTGAAAGTACACTTACCCGTTGACTTTGTTACCGGTGATAAGTTCGATGAGAATGCACAGGTGAGTCCAGTAACATATTTTTTAACTGATATCTTATGTGTTTGTTTCTGTCAATCAGGCACTTTTTTAAAAACCATACACATGATGTGATTAGCCATCAAAAGACGGTGAAAAATACATTTAAACTTTCAGCTGTGACCTCTAAGACTTCTGCGAAGCAGGCAGTTATAAACCGCTTGTTACGATGAATGAATTTATTGGCAGTGGATGTATTCTGGATGCTTATGTAGATATGGTATTTTATTTAGGTTGGTGCTGCCGACATTGCGAGCGGTATCCCCGACGGCTGGCTTGGACTCGACGTTGGTCCTAAATCTCAAGCACTTTTCGCTGAACCCATTGCGAGAGCGAAAGTTATCGTATGGAACGGGTATGTATTCGAGTCACTGAAATTACATTATTGAAGAATCTATGTTGTTGTAAGGGCGTTAAATTTTGTATTTGTTTAATAGACCTGCCGGAGTGTTTGAATTTGAGAAGTTCGCTGGAGGCACCAGGGCTCTTATGGATGGTGTTGTGAAAGCGACTGCAAACGGAACCATCACCATTATTGGTAAGCTTTTAAATGAATGTTTCTTCAGCTTTTATATGAAACTAGCTACTTCCGCACGGTTTCACACGCTCTGCTCAGCTCCTATTGGTCGTAGCGTATGTTTTATAGCCTATAAATGCGCTATCCAACACAAAAAGAATTATTCAATTCGTCTTGTAGTTACGGAGATTAGCGCGTTCAAACAAACAAACAAAAAACAAACTCTTCGGCTTTATATAATAGTATAAGATAAGATGACAATGGCAATAATATTTTCGCCCCCTTTTTTTGTATAGGATAAGAGCAAGTCTTAACTTCAATATGCGCCTACGTAACTTTTGCTTACCATCTAAGTGAACAGAAATCTTGAAGTCACATCACTTATCAATATACCTAATATTGATGTTTTACTTTACTTTCTAAATAGGTGGAGGTGACACAGCGACGTGTTGCGCCAAGTGGGGAACTGAAGACAAAGTCTCTCATGTCTCCACCGGTGGTGGCGCATCCCTTGAACTGCTTGAAGGTAAGTAACCATATTTTTTTAACTACTATTAATTGTTTGCTCATTTGGCGTCCATAATGGTAAGCGGACATAAGTAAATACAGAAATGACCATGTAGAGTACTATTTAATTATCTAAGCTATATTGTTTCATTCTTGTTGTAATTTTGAACTTTATTATTAGACATTATAGATTGCAAATCGCCCAGTCATTTTTTCTTTTGATGCTTAATTTGAAATTGTCTTAAAATTTACTATTCAGTGAAGATATCTGAAAAAAAGAAGATAATACACAATGTAACTAATGGTTTAATTTCTTATTGCTTTAACATTGAGTGATAATTAGTTGTAATTTCATAGTGTAGATTATGTAGACAAAAAGTAGATTATGTATGGAATTGTGATATTACGTTATCAATGATATTGTAAATAGTTACTTCAGGAGTATTGTAAACGTAACGTAGCAATAAAAGCCGTAATTCCAAATTCAATATTTCTTTTTTTCTCAGGTAAAGTGTTGCCAGGAGTAGCAGCGCTGTCTGACGCATAGACAATAAAGAGCAAAGAGTATTTACACCTATTTGCTTCCTAGAAATGTTTGAAATTATATCCTATTTGATAGACCGAAAAGTCAAGAAATTATGTTTTGTAAGTGATATGTATGTATAGTACTTTATTTTTAAGTTTAATGAGAAAAGTGTCATGTGTATCGAATAGTGCAATAATTTATTATCGTAATAAATGAAATGAAATTGTTGTTTATAATTATTGCATATATATTTTTAGTTAAAGTGTACCCACCTATGGCGAGAAACGCAAACTATGAAGCCATTGTTTTATGTTAATCTGTTGATTAGGTAAATGTTCTACTGCTTGACAAATTGCATCCATTCCATTTCAAAATAAAAAACCGTACAAAATTCTGTTCAGTAGTTAGGTAGGTATCATATTAGTATTTGACTGCACGGTTGGTGCGGTGGCTGGGCAACCGGCTGCCGTGCAACGTGTCGCGGGTTCGATTCCCGCACAGAACAACACTGTGTGATCCACAAATTGTTGTTTCTGGTCTGGGTGTGATGTGTATGTGAACTTGTATGTTTGTAAACGCACCCACGACACAGGAGATAATCCTAGTGTGGCGCAACGTTTTTTTAAAAAGACAAAGACCTAGTTTAATTAGCTGTTTATTGCCGCGAAGACATACATACCAGTGTTAGGATAACTTTATATTTGAATTGTCTTCCGAAGGTTATTCCTTAATTTTATCAGCCACGAAGTGTCTACTCCTGAACATAATTTCATAAGAAAGCGGAAAAATTTTTTTAATACGAAAGCGTTAAGACCGTTATTTATCACTAGACAGCTAGACATTGTACATACGAGTACCCATATGACCACAGTACCTAAGCG